GCAGCCAAGGACGCGTCGTCGTCGTCGTCCGCGGGCGGCGGCGAGAAGAAGCGCGGTGGGAAGAAGGGCGGTCGCGGCAAGACCGCCCGAGAGGGCTCGGGCGGCGGGAAGAAGGAAAAGATCGGGAAAGATTTCTGGAACGAGCTGTCGTACCTCGTCAAAGTCGCCGCGCCGACGCCGACGTGCCACTTCTCGCAGCTCCTCGTCGGGCAGTTCGCGCTGCTCGTGATGCGAACGCTGCTCACCGTGCGAGCGAACAAGGTGAACACGTTCTATCTCACCAAGGCGATCTCCACGGCGAGCTGGAAATTCTGGGTGCGCTGGTTCTTCAACTTCTCCGGGTGGATGGGCTCCGCCGTCGTCGTGAACAGCGGCTTGCGATACACGGAGACGCTCATACAGATCGAGCTGAGAGCCGCGCTCACGCGTCACGCGCACAAGAAGTACATGAGCGCGAACAACTTCTACAAGACCGCGGTGCTGCGAGACGGCGGGCTCGACAACGTGGACCAGAGAATCGTCGCTGACGTGGACGCCTTCTCGAAAGAAGCCGCGTTCCTCTACGGCCACTCGTTCAAGCCCATCCTCGAGTTCACGCTGTCGCTCACCGAGGCGGCGAAGGAGCTCGGGTACTCTAGACCGCTCGCGCTGTTCGGCGCGCAGATTTTCATAACCACGGTGTTGCGTCAGATGTCGCCGTCGCTCGGGAAGATGGTGGCGAAAGAGCAAGCCCTGGAGGGCGGGTTCCGGCACACGCACGCGCGTCTCATCGCGCACGCGGAAGAGGTCGCGCTCCTCGGCGGATCCGACCGCGAGATTGGTATCCTGGACGACGGCCTGAAGAACATGGTCGTCACGCAGCGGTGGCACGCGTTGCAGAGGATTCGCAAGTCCGTCGCGGATAACGTGTCGAAGTTTCAGGGCTTGCTCGTCGGGTCGATATTTGTCCACGTCCCGTTCATGGTCAGGGCGGCCGTCAGCGAGGGCGAGCGCATCTCCATGTTCCGAGCCACGGAAGAGCTCATGCTGCGGTGCGGCAGCGCGTTCACCGAGGTGTTACTCCTGGGGAGGAACCTCGACGAGCTCGCCGGGTACACCTATCGACTCTCGCAGTTATTCAGAGTCATGGACAAGGGCGTGGAGACGGAGAAGAAACGCGCCGCGGACGACCGTTTACTCATCACCGGAGACGACGGCGTCGACGCCGGGGGCATACGCTTCGACGGCGTCTCCGTCGGCGCGCCCGAGCCCGGGGGCGGGCACCGTCTGCTCGTCAAGGGGCTCACGATGACCGTCGAACGCGGGTCGCACCTGCTGATCACCGGTCCGAACGGCTCGGGGAAGACGTCGTTACTGCGCGTCCTCGCCGGTCTCTGGGCGCCGATCGAGGGCACGGTAACGACGCCGAAGGTGGCAGACGACGAGAACAAGGACAAGGCGGTGATGATGTGGCTCCCGCAGCGGCCGTACTTGCTCCAGGGATCTTTGAGAGACCAAGTCGTGTACCCGCGCACCGCGCTGGCGGATGGGAACTTGTACTACCACGCCGCGAAAGCGAAAGCGAAAGAGGAGGACGAGAAGATCAAGCAGTGCCTGCGGATGGCGGGGTTGGGGAAGTTCGTCGACGGCGGCGTCCCGAACGTCGGTCTCGCGACGCGTCACCTGGAGTGGAACGACGTGTTATCCGGGGGCGAGCGGCAACGCATCGGGTTCGCGCGTTTGTTTTTCCACGCCCCGCCGTTCGCGATATTAGACGAGGCCACGAGCGCGATCAACCCGGACGAGGAGCACTCGCTGTACGAGCACGTGCTCGCGCAGGGGACGACGGTGGTCTCCATCGCGCACCGGTTGGAGCTTCGGAAGTTTCATCACCGCGAGTTGCAGCTCGCCGGCGACGGCGGCGGCGGGTGGAAGCTCCTGCAGAAAAAGGAAACCGGTCACGGAGGAGAGAAATGGGTCGCGCTCAAGTGATGTGATGACCCCTGTGAACGCGCGCGGCGTGGCGCGGCGCGGCGCGGCGTGGCGTGACGCGGCGTGGCGTGACGCGGCGTGTATAATACTCGAAACCGAATTGAATCACAACACGCGGTATCATGTCGTTCATCACGACCGCGTGCGCTCGCCGCCGGCACCTTAAAACCGCGAGGCGTAAATCAGAGCGCCCATCGCGAGCGGCAGCGCGACGACGAACGCGACGGACGCGGCGGTGACCTTTTTCAGCGCCTCCTCTTCCTCCGGGTCCGACTCGATCTTCCAGTCCTGGCGCTCCGTGGTCATCTTGATGAGGAACGGGTCGTACTTGTCCTTGATGCCGTCGTAGTCGAACTGGTCCGCCTTCATCTTCTTCGACGCCGTCGTCATCCCCCAGATCATGCGATCCGCCATCTTGGACACTTTCCCGTGCGGACACCCGACGCACCGCTTGTACATCTCCAACGCTTCCTCTCGGCGGCCGCAGGAGTCTAAGCACACCGCGTAGTTGAAGATCATGTCCCCGCCGATCTCGAGCTTGGGCGAGATGTTCTCCACCTTCACGATCGGCTCTAACAGCTCGTACGACGCCTGGAGCTTGCCCTGGGACATCAACGACTTGGCCTCGGTGAGCGCGGCTTGCCACCGCACGATCGTCCCGTTGGACACCTCTATCCCGGCGTTCGAGCGAAACTGTTTCAACTTATCCCTGACGCGCTTCCGTCGCGCTTCCTTTTCCTCCTCCGTCTCGGGAACGAACTCCCCCGCCTTAATCGTCTTCCCGCCGCCGTACGCCTCGCTGATGTTATCCGGTCGCGGGAACACGCCCCACGTGCTGACGGACGGTTTGTAGTTCGACTCGCCGTTCTCCGCGTCCTCGCCCTCGCCCGGGGGTTTCGAAATCTCCAGCTTCGGACGCGCCTCCACGGGCTCCGCGTTCGCCTCCTCGCTCCCCAAGCCTCTCTCGCGTCGCCGCCCGCCGCTCCGCAGCATCTCCGCCTGCGCCGCCGTCGGGCCGTCGCCGCGGAACGCGCCGCCCGCCTCGGGCCTGAACACCTCGCCCGTCTCTGACTCTCTCCCCACGACCGCCTCGTCTTCCCCGAACGGATTGTAGTCCGCGTTTCGCGTCAGGATCTTCACCTTGACCTCCTTCGGGCCGCTCGGCGTCGGGGAGGACGCGTCGTTCGCGGACGCCTTGGCGCGCTCCGCGCGCGCGATGGCTTCCTTCACGGCGTCCGCCATCTCGCTCGGTTTCCCCATCGACGCGGACTGCTTGTTCACGGCGTCTCTGTACGCCTTCGCCTTCGCGAGTCTCTCCGCGAGCGCGTCGGACGCGGAGGGCGGCGCGGAGGATCCTCCTCCTCCTCCTCCTCCGGCGTCGTCGTCGTCGTCGGCGTTCGCCGCCGCGCGCGTCGCGTTCGTTTTTCTCGTCGTCCACGCGCGCTGGCGCGACGAGCGAGAGATCCGAAGACGACGCGCGCACCGAGGCGCGCCGGCGCGCGTCCTCGAGCGCGGCGACGACGACGCCGCCGCGCACGCCGCGGCGAAGGCTGTCGCGGACGTCGACATCGTCGTCGGCATCGCTCGTGCTCGCGCGCCGTGCGGCGCGGAGGGGACTGACGACGCTTATCGCGACGACAGAGACTGGCAGAAGACGAGGTTGACAGCTGGCACTCGCGCGGCGGAGAGCCACGTGTGCGTGAGTGACGTTCTCTGATGAAGCGCGATCTTCGCGCCGACGCCGCACACGTCCCCGCGCAGCTCTAAATGTCCCCCGCGCCGCCGGAAGACATCCTCCCGAGCCGCAAGAGTCACCGAAGCCCTCTCGTCCTCGTCGGCGCCGCGATCACCGCGGGCGTCCTCTTCGCCGGCTTCGTCGCGTTCAAGACGGGGAACCAGCAGCTCTCGCAAAACATGATGCGAGGACGGATCTTCGCGCAGGCGGCGACGATCGGCGTCATGGTCGGCACGTCCGGCGCGGTCGTAGTGCCGTCGTTCTTAGGAGGCGACGCGAAGTGACCAAAGCGCTCGTGTGGTCGCGAGGCGGACGTAGACGCGCGGTTAGAAGACACGCGCACGTTAGAAGACAGACACTAGCTACTAGAAGGAGAGACGACGACGACGACGACGACGACGATGGCGTGGTCGATCGCGCGAAGGCGCCTCGGGCGCCTCTTCAGCCGCGCGATCGCGACGCGCGCCGTCGCGGCGTCGCGGCGCGGCGCCGCGCCGCCGTTCGCGCGCGCGGGGGGGGGCGCGCGCGCGCCCGCCGCGCCGCGCGGCGGTGCGGCCCTCGCGCCGCGAGGGTTCGCCGCGGAGACGACGCCGAGGGAGGAGGAGGAGGAATCCGCCCCCGGGCAGGACGCGTCCTCCGCGGCGGATTCGGGTTCGGGTTCGGGTTCGGGTTCGGGTTCGGAGTCCGAGCGCGACCGACGCGTCCGCGACAAGGACGAAGCGCACGTCCTGACGCAGAAAATCCTCGCCGCGGCGATGAAGCGCGTCCCGACGCTCGGGTGGACCGACGACGCCCTGCGCGCGGCGGCGAGGGACCTGAACCTCTCCCCCGCGGCGGCGCGACAGGTCCCGCGAGGCGTCGGCGCGCTCGTCGATAAATTCGTCTCCGAGTGCGACAGCCGCTTAGCTCTGATGATAACGACGAAGCGCGACGAGGAGCTGCGGTACGAGTCCGCGCGGACGAAGCTGGAGAAGATCATCAACTGGCGTCTCGACATGATCAAGCCGGTGATCGACGACTGGGCCGCCGCGCTCGCCGTGCAGGCGCGACCGGAAAATCTCGCGTCGACGGTGGCGCAACGCGCGATGCTCGCGAACGACATGTGCGACGCCATCGGCAGCGGGTTCGGGCTGGGGACGATCGATCACCACCTATCGCTCGGTGCGGTCGGCGACGCCGCGACGAGAGGGGGCTGGTACGGCGATCGCGCCGTCGTCGGCGCGTTGTACGCCGCCGCGGAGGCGCACCTCCTCGCGGACGCGTCGCCGGGATACGAGGACACGCGCGCGTTCGTGCACGAGGCGGTGACGCGGCTGGACGCGTTCGGGACGGACTTTGAGGAGGCGTCCGGGTACGCCGGCGCCGCGATGGTGGGCTGGGACTGGCATCTGTTGAGGGCGTTCGGGATCAGAGGAGGGAGGGAAGGACTGAAGGATGCGCTCGGCGGCGTCGCGGGCGCGCTCGCGAAAGCCGCCGCCGCCGCCGCCGCCGCGGGGACTTCCCGGGGGAGAGGGGGGTCCACTCCCGGCAGCGTCGATCGCGAGGAGGAAGAGAAGGAGGAGGCATCGCGCTTTACGAGCGAGAAAGACGACGAGGAGAAGGAGGAGGAGGATGCGAAACGGTATAAAGATTGATTGAACGCCGACGCTCGTTTACAACCGCCTCGCTCGCCGATCAATCGCACTTGATGTTTCGGTATATCCGCCGCACGAACGCGTTCGCGGCGACGTACCCTGTCGCGCCGCACACGAGCGCGAGGACGAGGCAGAACATCGCGGTGTACCCGAAATAAAAGCACGTCTGGAAAAACCCAGTCATCTTCGTCTTGAACACGAAGTAATACACGCTGTACGCGTACACGTACAGAGACACGCTCGCGGCGGCGTTGAACGCGGTCCAGTGCCATCTCCAATTCTCCGCGTTGAGCAAAAAGTACGTCGCGACGACGGTGACGCACGCGGTCACGATCAACAAGATCGCGAACACGAGTAAAAAGAAGCCGTAGACGTAGTACACCTTGTAGTTCCACATCGACGTGAACACGAAGTACGTCTCGATGAATATGGAGCCGAACGGCAGGACGCCGCCGAGCAAGGAGATGGCGAGCGGCGTGAGATACCACTCGCGCTCCGGTATGCGCCGCGGTATGGACTTCACCCGGCACGGGTTATTCGGCGCGCCCGCGACGTTCCGCCCGATGACCGTGCCCAACAACACGAGCGGGAAGGAGATGAACAACCACATGAACGTCATGACGACCATCGTCCCGAACGGCACCGCGGCTAAGGAACTGTACGAGATGGCCACCGCGTTCAACGCGAACGCGATCGCGAAGCACGACCCGGGGAATAAACCCGCGGTGAGCGCCATGGCCTTGATCCAGTTCTTCCCCTCGTTCCTCGCGTTGAACCCGCCGGAGACGTACCCGCCGACGAACGACGTCAGGGCGTAGCACACGATGAACACCGTGAGAATCGTCCCTCTTCCCTCGTACATCGCGCCGCCGATCGTGATGAGAATCACGAGTAAGAAGAGCGCCGCGAGCTGCACGCCCGTGCCGAGCATCGCGGCGAGGACGGGCAGCGCGCTAGGGGCTCGGAACACGTCCCCGTGGACGAGCTTCCAGCCGGACTCTTCCGACGCGCCGCCGCGGCCGTCGCCGCCGTCGCCGCCGCCCTCCACGTCGTCGTCGTCGTCCCTCGACGTGTACTTCGCGTAGTCCTTCCTCAGCGTCCGCATCAGGATCATGGACACCATGCCGACGAGGAAGATCACCATCATGCACGAGTTGAATATGCTGAACCAGTGGATGTGGTGCTCGAAGAAGTCGTTGTCTAAGTAGCGTTCGAACCGCTTCGAAAACGGCGCGTCCGATTTCGTCCACCTCGTCTCGTACGTGAACGCGATCTTAGCCCCCGGGGTCACCGCCACGGGGTTCTCCGCGACGAGGTTCACCTGCGTGATCCGCCCGTCGTTGTGCTCGATCTCGAACTTCTTGTGCGCGTAGATCTTCGGCGCGCCCGCGACCTCGCCCTCGCCGTCTCCTTTCGCGTTCTCCCCGACGAAGCCCCAGACGGGAAGGTCGTCCATCACGAACTCGTACCAGTAGTGCTCGCGCGCCGCGCGCGCGAACGCCGCGGACTCGCGGTTCGACAGCGACGCGATCTCGCACACGGTCGTCCTCGCGACGTCCTTCCCGAACTCGAACTTCATGTCGCTCTCCACGAGCTCGTTCCCTTGCAAGATCTCACCCAGGCCGCCCCACTTGTGCTTCGGCGAGGCGTTCACGCGACAGAACGGCAGGCGGTGGTAGTTGTACGTCTCCTGAGGGTTGTTGTACGGACCCACCTTGTTCGCCCAGAGCTTGACCTCGTCGCCGAGGACGTACTGCGGGGGCGGGGCGGGGGGATGGGGGGGTGGGGGGGGTGGGGTCAGCGCGCGATCGAGGGTCGGATCTGAACGGGGTGGGGGGGGAATTCGTTCATCGATCGCGTCGCGATTGTTTTCTGAGGGATCGATCGATCGGCGGGGAGGCGCGCGACGGAGGACGCGCCTTGTGATCGAACTCGTCCGCGGTCGCGCGCGCGAGCAGCGCGCACGCCAGCGCGCACAGCATCAGCGCGCGAGCGAGTCGCGTCATGGTCCCCGCGACGCACGCGCGTCCACCGGGCGCCGCGCCTCGCGAAGTGATCGACGCGCGAAGAGTCGAACGTCGCTTCGGGGCGGTCAGAAGCGGAAGCTCGGAACTTCCTGTGGATATCGTCGCCAGCAGAGTACCATGGCGCGCGCGACGTCCGCGCGGCACGTCGCCGCGGGCGCTTCCGCCAACCCGCGAATCGCGACGCGACGGCATCGCGCGACCCGTCGTGGTCCCGTCCTCGCGCGCGCGTCCGCGTCGTCCGCGGCGCCCATAACCGCGGCGTTCGACGCCACCGATCGCCTGGCGTTCGCGCCCGACGCGACCGTCCCGCGCGTCGTCGCGCCCCGCGGCGCGCCCCCCGTCGTGATCCTCCCAGGCTTCGGGAACGACTCGAACGACTACCTCGCGCCGTTCGGCGACGCGTCCTCGTCCGCGTGCATCGCGACGTCGCTCCGGAGCCGCGGATGGGACGTCCACGTCGTCGACCTCGAGAGGAGGGACTGGGCGAACATCCTTCGCGCGGTCGGATCGGTCGGGTTCTACACCGGCGAGAGCACGACTGACCCGGGGTACACGTGGTACCTGGAAAAGGTCGACGCCGCCGTGCGCGCCGCGCTCGCGGCGAACCCGGGCGCGGAGACCGTGGACTTCGTCGCGCACAGCGCGGGGGGTTGGCTCGCGCGCGCGTACGTCGGCGGCGCGTTGAACGAAGTCGACTGGTCGAAGCGGCGTCGGCGGCGGACGAGAGGGAAGAAAAACGGAGGCGGCGGCGGCGGCGGCGGCGTCGGCGGGTTCCTCGCCGGGCTGCTCCCGAAGCGCGACGAGATGCCGCGGTACGCGAGAGGGCGCGAAGAGGAAGCGAGAGCGAACGGCGAGCCGTCGCCGTCGCCGTCGCCGCCGCCGGAGGAGGAAGACGACGCCGACGCCGACGCCGACGCCGACGAGACGCGCGTCGTCATCGAACGCGTGCCCGTGCCGCACCCGCGCGTGCGTCGCGTCGTCACCCTCGGGTCCCCGCACCGCGCGCCGCCGCCCGGCGCGAGCGACGCGACGCGAGGCGCGATCGGGTGGGTCGACGCGCGGTGGCCGGGCGCGCGCTTCGCGCCCGCGATTCAGTACACGTGCGTGACCGGGCGGACGGTGCGAGGCCGCGCGGGCGAAGCCGCGAAGAAGACGCTCCCGGGATACAGCTGTAACTCGTACGCGCAAGTCTGCGGCGAAGGCGACGGCGTCGAGGGCGACGCGGTCGTTCCGAACGCCTACGCAACGTTGCCCGGGGCGAGAAACATCACGATAGACGGCGTGTTTCACTCCATGAGCAAGGTGGGGACGTACGACGAGAGCGCCGCGGAGTCGTGGTACGGAAGCGACGACGTCGTCGACGTCTGGCTCGACGCTCTCGTAGTAGACTAATTAAGAGGTTACAGTACTAAATCTTCATCGCTCGCGCGCGTTCGCGTCGTTCAGTTCGTTCGCTCGCTCGCTCGTCAATCGCGCGATCCCTCGGCGCTCTGCGCGACGTACTCGATGAACATCTTCTTCACGACGAGGCGCGCGACGGTCGTCCGCGCCAAGCCGCCGCCGACCATCTTCAAAAACGTCCGCTTCATCCGTCGAAGCTGCTGCAGGGCGATTCCAAAATACAAAACCAGTTCACCGGTCAGTTGAAAGGGACCCACGCGATCAAATGTTGAAACCGAGCGGTGGGTGAAAAACGTTTGCATAGAACGCACCTGCAGGCTCGGCGGCGCCGCGACTCGAAGCGCGGGCAGCCCCTCCCCGAACGCGTACTCCGCTCTTCCGCCGCCGCCGCCGCCGCTCTCGGCCTCCGCGCGGACGATGACATCGATGACCTCCTGCACGCCGAGGTCCATCTCCGCCCTCAAGTTCGTGTCGCTCAGCGCGCTCGCGCCCAACCCGGGTTGCGTCGCCTGGCACGGCGCGAGGACCTTGTTACCGCCTCCGCCCGACGCCCCGCCGCCGTCGCCGCCGCCGCCGCCGATCCCGCGTCCCGTGATCGCCGCGACCGCCGCGGTCAACGTCTCCTCCCTCGTCGCGTCCTTGTACTCCCCGCACTCGTCGTCGAGCGCGGGCGTCGAATTCGTCGTCGTCGTCGTCGTCGCCGTCGGCGGCCGCAGCGTGAAAAGCGGCGCGTCCCAGCGGTTCTTGCCGTCCGGCCGCTCGAACCGAACGACGAGGTCCTCGAAGATGCGCGCGTCGTACCCGCCCCACTCCTTCTCGTCGTCGTCGTCGTCGCTCCTCCTCCTCGACGCGTTCCATCGTCGCGCGTCGTCGATCGGCGCGTCCACGTGCACGACGCAGTGGCGCGCGCCCGCCGCCCTCGCGATGCACCATAGCTCGTACCGGAACCCTTTGATCCCGCACCCGGAGTCCACGATCACGATCGGGCCGTCCTTCCGCAGGAGTCGATCCACGGTCGATTTCAACGACGCGCGCGTGTTCTTCTCCGCGTGCCCGTGCGCGTACCCGGCGTTGCGCGCGATGTGCAGGGAGTCCTCGGAGACGACGACGGGCGCCGGCGCGTCGGGGACGGCCGCGGCGACGCGCGACGCGATGTCCGCCGCCGCGCGGCTCTTCCCGCTCGCGGGGTGGCCGCAGACGAGGACGAGGCACGACGTGTGATCGCGCGGCCTCGACGACGCGCCCATGGCGCCGCGCGTTCCGTCGAGTGGCGGCGAAGATTTCGGCACCTGCATCTTTTCAGGCTTTTTTCCAGGCGGTGCATGTCCGAAACAGCCAGGTGTCCGTTGTACTGTACAGGCTGGCAATTTTTTTCGTACTAATTGCCCATAGAGGTCGGATTTTTGCCCCCGGAGAAAGTTTTTTTTCGAGAATCATGGGGGTCGCAAAAATTAAAGACTATTTGCTCATACGAGTAGAAATCATCGATCTCGTTTCTGACGATGACGTCCGATTTGCGAAGGGACGCGCGTGTCTTCAAAAGAATATCTCAACACCCCACATGTGTCGCGCCTCTCCAGTCGCCGCCGCGCGTCACGTGCGTCGACACGAACACGGCGCGGACGACGTTCGCGCGTGACCGCCTGAGACGTCGTCGAAGATCTCGGACGTAGACATTTCGTCTATATGCTCCCCGCGCTGAGCGCCAAGTACGCCAATTACGACGCGATGGACGCGAAAGCGGGGAAACCCCCGGGCAGCGACGGCGTCTTCAAGCGCCGGGCGTCGTCGCTGCACCGCGAGGAGAACCCGAACCCGGGATTCTACGAGAAGTCCAAAGCGAGAACCGTGCACGTCGTCACGAAGTGGCCGTGCTGCGTCGTGCTTTTGGTGTCCACCTTTTCCCTCTTGCTCGGCGCCATGGGGTTCCTCCTCGGCGGCGTCTCCATCGACACGGAAGGATGGGAGACGCGCGGGACGCCGATCGCGAAAGCCGCGATCCAAGAGGAGACGTGGCGCACCGGGCAGTTCACGCTCGCCGACGGCACCCCCGCGGCGGTCGGGACCAAGGACTCGAAGCGCCGACGCGCGCGAGCGCTCCTGGAGGCGGGCGACGACGACGACGAATACCTCGCGCTCGAGACGGGTTCAAAATCCCCCCTGTCGAGATTCGCGATCGCGAGCGCGATGAACCCCGGGAGGGCGTGGAAGAAGCGCCTCACCGCCGCGCACGACGAGCACGCCGCGCTCGCGGAGAACGCGAAGCGCGCCGCGGACCTCGGCCGCGACCCGCGCGCCGCCCTGCCGCGCGGTCGCGCGGGCGGCCGAAGCCTGCTGTCGTCCACCGGCTCGTGCTCGACGCCGTATTACCCGCTCCCGGACGACGGGGACGCGGACACCGCGAACGACGGGCAGGAGTACGTGCAGTATCGCAACAACGCCCTCGAGATCATCTTCTACGAAGGCACGAACCTCTTCGACGTGGCGGGGCTGAAGGCGATGTGCGAGGTCGAGGACACGATCATGGGCCTGAGCGGATACTCCGATTACTGCGACAAGTCGTGGAGGACGTGCGCGGCGCCGCTGCCGAGCGACGCGGGGTGGGCGACCACGTTCCAGAGCACCGGCTCCGCGTACGAGTTCTGCTACCAGCCAATCTCCTTGACGAGGTTCTTGATGTCGCGGCTGTCGTTGACGTCGTGCAACGACTTCACGGCGAGCAAGCAGGCGAGCGTCGACACGTGGGTCGCGAATTACGCGGGCTGCGCGGACAAGTACATCGTCGACGCGACCGATAAGTGCAGTAGCTCGACGACCGCGGGATATTACTTCGACCCCGCGAAGTTCAACGCCGGGTTCAAGACCGGGTCGACGAAGCTCACGATGACGAAGTCCACGTTCCCGATGGACACTTCGAAGTACGACGCGACGATGCAGTGGCTCTTGGGTCTGGACAAGGACGGGTCGTTGAAGCTCGGAAACGAGTACTTTTCGGTCGCGTACTCGAGCTCGGACAAGGAACTCTTAACCCTGAAGACGGACGAGGCGCTCATGACGGACCTGTTCCTCGCCACGGGGTCGTCGATCGTGATCACGCTTCTGCTGTGGGCGCACACCGGGTCTTTGCTCTTGACGCTCGGCGGTTTTTTGCAGATCATGATGGCGTTGCCGTCGGCGGTTTTCTTCCAGACCGTCGTCTGCCAGATCACGTTCTTCCCGTTCTTGAACTTCCTCGGCGTCTTCGTCATCGCCGGCATCGGCGCGGACGACTGCTTCGTGTTCTACGACAAGTGGATGCAAGCGAAATCGAGGATGCCCCCCGGCGCGAGCGCGAGCGAAGTCGCGAAGGAGTGCTACTGGGAGGCGGCGTGGGCGATGTTATTGACTTCGACGACGACCGCCGTCGCGTTCGCGTCGTCTGCGATCATCCCGATCGCGCCCATTCGCGTCTTCTCCATCTTCATGTGCGCGATGGTGATCTTCGACTACATCTACGACATCACCATTTTCGCGGCGATGTTGGCGTGGACGCACGACGCGAGCCTGCGCGCGCAGAATAACGGAGGGAAAGGCTACTCGCTCATCTGTTTCGACCTCTTCGCGTTTTACGAGAAGAGAAAGGAACAGAAGGGATCGGCGAAGGTGTCCGAGAACTCCGGCCTGCTGCGATCGAAGACGATCCACCAGTCCGCGGTCCCGCTCCCGGAGAAGGTGCTGCGGAAGAACGCGTATCCACTCCTTCACGCGGCGCGGTGGTTCCTCGTCGTCACCTTTCTCGCCTTTAGCGGCGTCGCCGCGTGGCAAGCGTCGAAGCTCACCACCCCGGAGACGAACGAGGTCTTGCTCCTCGTGGAATCGGACCCGGTGCAGAAGCACTCGTCGCTGATGCTCACCGGGTTCTTGTCCTCCACGGAGTCGCAGTTGTGGGTGGCCGTCATGTTCGGCCTCGTCCCCGGGGACGACGGCGAGTACACGGACCCTACGAAGCGCTCGTCGTTGATGTTGGATCCGACGTTCGAGCCGACGTCGACGGCGGGGCAATCCTGGTTCGCGACGTTCTGCTCCGACACCGTGTCCGGGATGTCGACGACGTCGTACTACACGCCGATGGACCAGTTCAGAGCCTGGATCGTCGCCGCGAGCGGCGTCGACGCGACGTCGTGCGGCTCCACGAATCCCGGATGGCCGTTGGCCGCGAGCACCGTGGAGCACTGCATGAAGTACTGGGCGGACAATCATGACACCGAATCTCAAAAGTTTTTCTACTACCCCTCCTCGGGCGAGCAGACGAACGCGAACGCGAAGATTTTCGTCCTGAAGGCGTCGTTCGCGGCGTCCGTGCCGTTCACGTCCCCGCTCAACGTCCTCTTGGACGAATACGACAAGTGGGAGGCGTGGGTGAACCCCCGCATCGCCGCCGCGCCCGCGGGCTATCAGGGCGGGTTCCAAACCTCGCAAGGGTGGTGGTGGATGGACACGATCGACAACATGCAGAGAGGGGCGTACTCCGCCGCGGCGATCACGCTGGGCCTCGCCGCGGCCGTCATCCTCTTCGGAACCGGCAACGTCATCGTCACGGTGTACTCCGTGACCGCCATCGCCGCGATCCTCTGCGGCACCGTCGCGTCCGTGATCCAGATGGGCTGGACGTTGGGTTTCCTCGAGGGAATCTGCTTCTCCATCCTCATCGGTCTGTCCGTGGATTTCGTGATTCACATCGGGCACGCATACTTGGAGTCCGCGAAGCACTACGAGGAGCTCCTCGGCGAGAAGGCGTCCAGAGGCGTCATGGCGAGAGAGGCGCTCGCGACGATGGGCTGGTCCGTGTTGTCCGCCGCGTTCACGACGATGTGCTCCGCCGTCGTGCTTCAGTTTTGCACCATCACCTTCTTCGTCAAGTTTGGCACGATCATCATGCTGTCCACGACGATCGCGTGCGGGGTGACGTTCTTCATGTTCGTTCCGATGTTGGACGCGGCGGGCCCGACGGGACGATGGGGGGACATGTGGGCGGGCATGTTGGCGCTCCGAGACAAGCTCAAGAAGAAGAATTGAGTCGATGAATGACGCGGGGAGAGCGCGAGCGAAGAAGAAGGCGGCGCATGCGCGAGAGTGTGTCTATCTTATACCTGTCTATATTTTACCTTCGTATTACCTTCTACATACTACTCGCACGTCTCCGCGATGAACGCTTTGCATCGCGTCCAGCTCTTCTCCGCGGCCGCGGCGTCGTACCCGAAACCCGCTCGCGCGTCCTCCTCGGTCGTCTTCTCCGGGCGCGTGAACCCGTGCTTCACCCCGGGGAAACCGTGAAATTCCGTCGCGACGCCGCGAGCGCGCAAATCGGCGAGGCACGCCTCTTTCGCCGCCGCCGTCGAGAAAGGGTCCTCCTCTCCGTGGAAAATCAAGACCGACGGCGGATTCGCGGCGACCGCGCTCCGCGGCAGCCCCTCGTCCGACGGGTCGTCCAGAATCCCGTGGAACGAGACCACGCCGCGGACGCTCGCGCCGAACCCCGAGCGCGCCAGGTCCAACGCGCACCGTCCGCCGAGGCAAAACCCGACGACGCATCGGACGCCGCCGCACTCCGGTTGCGCCTCGAGCGCGCGCACGCCCGCGGCGACGCGCTTCGCGGCCGAGCTCCGGTCGCGCCTGAGCGCCCCGAACGCCGTTTCGCGCGTCTCGGCGTCGAACACGCACTCGGGTAGACCGAACATGTCGAGCGCGGCGGCGGCGTATCCCAGGCTCGCGAGCGCGTCGACGCAGCTTCTCACGAACACCTCTCCCGGGCCTATCGCGGTGTGGAGCACGACCACGCCGTCGAGACCGCCGCCGCCCGTCCCCGTCGCGCCGCGCTTCCGCGTCTCCTCCACCGCGCGCGCGTCGAAGGAGGCGTACCCTCGCAGGGGAACGTCGTCGTCCGCGTACTCGAGGTCGCGCGACGCGATCGACGAAGAAACGCGCGCGAGATCGGCGCCCCACGGCAGCTGGGACACCGGCACGCCCGCGTCGAACACCCGCGCGTCCGTCGACGGCGACGACGACGACATTACCAGAGGGCGGGAGCGGGAGGACGCGCGGCCGGGCGGCGCGGGTCGGGTTCGAGGACGGAACGCGGCGACGCTCGCCGACGTCGTCGTCGTCGTCGTCGCGGCGCGCATCCGCTTCTGTCGGAGGTGGAGACGTTTTTCGCGGCTGTCGACGAGGCTCGTCGAATCTGACGAGACCGACCACGCAGTGCCAGCTTGCCAGCCTCAGCCGGAACCCGGGACGGTCCGCCGCAGCGCGCGTCCTCGCCGCTCCAAACGCGTCCGCGCCGATACGCGACAGAGATCGCGCCGCGCGCACGTCGCACGCAGAGAGGCGCGCGCGTCGGCGGTCTCGGCGAAGGACGACGGCGGAGTATCGGACCGGCGCGTCGCCGTGACGTGATTGCGATCGAGCGGCAAAAAAAACCCAGCGAGGGAGGGTTGCGGTGGCTGCTCGACGGAGCTCGCTCTTGCTAGAGAAGCAAGATGCCCCCCTCCGCGGCGACGCCCGCGGCCGCGTCGCGCGTCGCGCGGACGCCGGCGCGCTGGAGGGCGCGCGGCGTGACCCCCGGCGCGTGCGCGGCGTCGCGAGGGCGCGTCGCCGCGTGGCGGCCGCGCCGCGCGCGCGCGCGGACGACGACGCGCGCGGGAATCTTCTCGCCCGGGCGGGGAGGAGGAGGACTCGGCGACTTCTTCTCGTCGGCGTCGCCGCCGGCGATGGCGACGCGCGAGCGGCGCTCGCGCGTCGTGATCCGCGCGCGCGCGAGCGCGGCGAGCGCGACGCGGAGGGACGACGACGACGCGGGACGCGCGCGGCGCGTCGTCGCGCGCGCGGCGGCCGCCGCCGATCCCGGCGGAGAGATGTCGCCGCGTCGTCCCGACCGCGACCCGCGATCGTCCTCCTCGTCCTCCTCGCCGCCGCCGCGACGCGGCCCGTTCTCGAGCGCGACCGCGAGAGACGCGATCGCGTGCGTGAGCGTGTGTTACGCCTTCGCCGCGTGGAGATGGCTGCGCGTCCCCGCGGCCGCCGCGCACGTCTCCTCCTTCGCCGCCGCCGCGCCGTCGCCCGCGCTCGCGGCGCTCGTCGCGGCGGCGGCGACGGCGGCGATCCTCCCGCTCATGCGGCTCGCGACGCACCCGGCGGCCAACTACGGCGTCAAGTGGCCGCTCCTCGCGCGCGCGGCGTTCGGCGTGAACGCCGCGCGCGTCGCGTCGAGCGCGCGGCGCGTCGTCGCCGCCGGGTTCGCCGCGACGCATTTTCTCGCGTGCGCCGAGGCGTTGCACGTCCTCGCGGCGATCCTCTCTCCGAGCCTGAGCACGTTCGGACAGGGAGCGTGGGCGCAGACCGCGGCGTACTGCGTCGCGTGGTTGTTGCAGAGCCGCGGCGTCGCGGGGATGGCGCGCGCGGCGCTCGTGAAGGGCGGCGGCGCGTTCGTCGTCGTCGCCGCGGCGTCGGCGGCGAGGGAAGGGTGGTTCAGCGGAGAGATCGTCGCGGGCGCGGCGGCGGCGGCGAAGGCGGCGAAAGCGGCCGTCGCGTCCGTCGCCGCGGACCCGGGTGGGACGTTGAACGCGCTGACGACCGCGCTGACGACCGGCGGGTTGGGCGGGTCATTCGCGAGCTCGAGCGCGCCCGCGATGGACCTGGCGCTCGCGCTCGTCGGCGTCTGGGTGATCATGACCGGCGTCGCCGTGGACACCGTCGCGGCGTCCACGGTGGACGACGCGATCGCGTCGCAGCGCGTCGGGCGGCCGCTGTCGCCCGCGCGAATCCGCGCCGCAGCGTGGTGCTCGAAGCTGCCGATCGCGGCCGCGTTCGCCGCGTTCGCGGTGAGCGTCGCGATCGACCCGGGCGCCGCGGGCCCCGGTCTGAGCGCCCTCGCCGCCGCGGTCGGCGCGCCCCCGGCGGCGATCCTCCCGCTCTTCGTCGCGATCGCCGCGCCCACGGCGACGCAGGTCCTGCGCGCGGGCGTCCCGACGCTGTCCGACGCCGACGCCGCGATGATCGCGGCGGCGATGCTCGTCGTCTCGCAGGGGCTTCCCACGAGCGCGACGCCCGCGGCGGCGGCGGCGGTGGGCGGCGGGTTGCTCGCCGCATGTACCGCCGTCGTCGCGCCCGTGCTCGGCGTCGTCGCGACGGATTACTTTCTCCTCCGCGGGCGCGCGTTGGACACGCGCGCGCTCGTGGACGGCGGGTTGGGGCGTCGCGAGGGCGGGCCGTTCTGGTTCTGGAGAGGCGTGAACCCGCGCGCGGCGTTCGCCGCCGCGCTCGGCGCGGCGGTGCCCGTCGCCGAGTTCGCCGCCGCCGCGTTCGCCTCCGAGACCGCGGGCGTCGTCGGCGCGGTCGGCGCGATGGCCGCGAGCGTCGCGAGCGTCTCGCCCGGGCTCGCGCTCGCGCGCTCCGCGACGCTCTCGGCGGCGATATCGTCCGCGGCGTTCGCGGCGTTCAACGCCGTCGCGCCGCCGCGGAGGATCGGCGAGGAGGACGCGTCCTACGCGGATCTCGGATACGGCTCGGGGTCTGGGTCCGCGGCCGCGTCCGCGACCGCGACGGCGTCGCCGGAACAGAAGCTGACGCGGCCCGCGATCGCAGATTACAGCGACGCCGCGTACTTGGACGACGTCATCGACGCGGAGAGCGTCGAGGCCGCGGAGGCGGAGACGGTGAGCCGCTCGCGGCGCAGCGAGAGGTCGCGATCGAGGTCGAGACGCGCGGGCGGCGGGCCCGACGACGACGACGACGACGACGACGACGACGACGACGACGACGTCGTCGTCGTCGTGAGAGATCGCCTGGAGCGCATGCTCGACCTCGAACCCGCGTCGAGCTCGGACAGAGACCGGCGGTTGGACGTCGCGCTCGGGGTGTCCCTCCGCGCGGAGCTCACCGCGCAGCTCCGACGGAGAGAAAAGCGCGAGAGAGAGTTACGCGACGCCGTCTCTCGCGGGGAATTCGTCCCCGAGAAGACGCTCGCGCGCGTGAAAGCGGACGCGGACGCGCTCAGGAACGAGGTCGCGGCGTACGACGAGAGCGCGGAGGCGGACGCGGAGGCGCGCCTGATCGAACGGTCCGTCTCGGAGCTCGCGCGCGCGCGGCGGGCGCGCGGCGCGGCGGCGGGCGTGTCGTATCTCGACGCCGACGGAAACGCGAAGGACGACGCGACGAACGAGTGGGCGGAGGTGTCCATCGCCGCGTCCGAAGTGACGAAACTAGACGTCCAGATCGAGAAGCTCGCCGCGCGCGCGTCCGTGACCGGGAAGCCCTACGACGCGGACGAGATGCACGAGCTCCGCGAGCGTCGAACGGTGTGGGGGTTACGGCTCGTCGGCGCGCAGATTAAGGGCGTCGCGGGGCTCGCGTCCGCGGTCAGGACCCGCGGGCGGAGCTTCGTCCCGGAGGAAGACATCGCGGCGGAGATGCGACGGCTAGAGGAGCTCGCCGCGGAGAAGTCCGCGCTGCTGGAGCGGCTGTCCGAGACGGAGCGAAAGGGCGCGGAGGCGAGCGGCGCCGCCGAGCGCCTGCGCGCGGAGGTTGAAAATTTGAAAACGCAGCTCGAGGACGCGCGGGAAGACGCCGCCGCGGGCGCGGAGTCCGCGGAGATCGCCGCGTTCTTAGAAGAGAAGCTCCGCGACTTGCGAGACGAAAAGTCAGCGGGCGACGCCGCCGCGGAGGGCGAGATCGCCGCGCTGAGAGCGCGCGTCGCGGCGCTCGACGCGACGCTCGCGGAGAAAGAAGCCGCGTTGCGCGTCGCCGGCGAAGAGGACGCGCTCGCGATCGAGGACGAGATCGCGGACCTGCGCGCGGACATCTCCACGCTGCGCGGTCAGATGGCCGCGAAGGACGTCGCGTCCGGGGAGGCGATGGACCAGCTGCGGACGCAGCTCAGGGAGACGAGAGACGCGCTCGCCGCGTCGGAGAAGCGACTGTCGAACGCCAAGGCGCGCGAGGAGAGCCTCTCGGAGAGCCTCGCGGCGCGCGCGCGCGACGCCGCCGCGGCGGCGGACGCGGAGAAGACCGCGTCGTCGTCGTCGTCGATCGCGGAGGGCGTCGCGGCGGCGGCGGCGAGGAAAGAGACGGAGACGCTGCGCGGCGAGCTGTCCGACGCGGAGGCGCGGTTGCGAGCGATCGAGTCGAGAGCGGCGGAGGCGGAGACCTCCGCGCGAGCCGCCGCCGACGCGGCGAAGCGATCCGAGGCGGAGAACAAGGCTGCGGCGACGCGCGCGAGGGAGCGCGTCGACGAGATCGAAGCCGCGCTCGCGGACAAGGAGCGCGCGCTCGCGAGCGCGCTCGACGCCGTCGCGCGCGCGGACGCGAAGAACGTCGACCTCGTTAAGAACGTCGACGAGCTCCGAGCGGAGATTTCGCGCGTCGGCGCCGTCGTCGAAGAGAAGACGGTGGAGCTGGCGAAGCTCCGAGCGGACGGGAGCGCGGGGACGCAGCGCGCGCGCGCCGACTTGGAGGCTGCGCGCGAGCGTTTCGAGCGCCTCAGCGACGTGTTATCGAAGCAGCAGCTGGAGGTGGACGCCGCGCTCGAGCGCGCGCGCGTCGCGCAGGACGCGAGGGACGAGGCGGAGGCGTCGGCGAGAACCGCGGGCGGGAGAATCGCCGCGACGGAGATGAAAGCGTCCGTCGCCGCCGCGGAGCTGAAGCGCCTCAGAGATCGGATAAACGAGCTGGAGGACGCGTCCGCGGTGGCCGCCGCGAGCGCGGCGGCGGATAAGGCTGAGCGCGACGCCGCGGACGCGGACGCGGCGGCGTCGAGAGCCGAACGCGACGCGATTCAAGCGGAACTCGAAGAGCTCAGAAGCGCGTACGCGGGCAAAGAGGCTGAGATGGCCGTCGCGGACGCGACGCTGAAGCGCGAGCGCGACGCCAAGGCGGCCGCGGAGACGCGCGCGGAGAAGCTCTCGACCGAGCTCAGGGCGTCCGTCGTCGCCGCGAGGGCAAACTCAGCCGCCGTCGCGGAGCTCTCGTCGAAAGTCGACGCGCACGACGCGCAAGTCGCGGAGCTCAGGGCGTCGCTCGCCGCGCGCGACGCGGAGGCGGCCGCGCTGACGGCGCGCGAAGAAGCGCTCAGGGCGGACGCGGACGCGGCGGCGCGAGCGAAAGCCGCCGCGGACGTCGCGGAAGCGGCGATGACGGCGACGTTGAACGAACGCGTCGGGGCGCTCGAGGCGGCGTTGAGCGAAAAAATCGCCGAGGTGTCCGCCGCCGTCGCGGCGTCCGACGCGCTGCGCGCGAAGGTGCCCTCGCGCGGGTTCATCGACGCGCTCTTCGGCGGCGCGAAGGCACCGTCGCGGGCGGGCGAGACGTGGTCCGCGCGCGACCTCGAGGTGGCGCTCGAGGCGCGGATGCGCGAGCTCGAGCGCGCCGCGGACGACACGGCGACAAAAGAGAGCGACGAAGAATTGAAAAAGGTGACGCGCGACTTGGAGGCGATGCGCGGGCTGCTCGCCGCGCGCGACGTCGCCGTCGCGGACTCGGAGGCGAAGCGCACGTGTTTAGAGGCGTCCTTAGAGGCGAAATCGAGGGATCTCGGCGCGCTGGAGGCGATCAAAATCGAAGCCGCGGAGACGCGCGCGCGGTTGGAGGAGAAGGAAGCCGCGCTGGCGGAGGCGCGGGCGGCGCTCGCCGAGGCGGAGTCGTCGACGGCCGCGACGACGCGCGCGTTCGCGGTCGCGGAGCAGGAGATCGGCGAGGCGTTGCGCCAGGTGCAGATCCTGCGCTCGGAGCGCGAGACCGCGGAGGCGGAGGTGGAGCGATTGAACGCGACGCTCGCGTCCGTGGAGGACGCGAAGCTCGAGGAGATTCGCGCGCTCGAGAAGAAACTCGCGAGCGCGGAGTCGTCGACGAACGCGACGACGCGCGCGTTCGCGGTCGCGGAGCAGGAGATTGGCGAGGCGTTGACCCAGGTGCAGATCCTGCGCTCGGAGCGTGAGACCGCAGAGGCGGAGGTGGAGCGATTGCGCTCGACGCTCGCGTCGACGGAGGACGCGTCGCGGTCCGATGCCGACGCGCTCGCGACCGCGGAGGCGAAGCTCGCGGCGCTCACCGCGGACGGCCGGGTCCTCTCCGGTCGGGCCGACGCGCTCGAGGCTGCGGAGGCGGCGCTGAGAGAGAAAGAGGCGGCGATGCGAGCCGACGCCGCGGACGCGAGGGCGCTTCTCGAAGAGAAAGATAAGGCGCTCGCGGAGGCGCGCGTCGCGCTCGCCGCCGCGGAGGCGTCGGCGTCGATGTCGGAAAAAGCGTTCGAATCCCAGCTGCGGGAGACGCGCGAGGGCGTCGGACAGGTCCTCGCGGCGGAGGCGGCGGCGGAGAAGCTCCGCGCCGAGCTCGACGACGCGAAGCGCGCGATCGCGGCCGCGGCCGCGGCCGCGGAAGCGCGCGGCGTCGCGTCCGCCGCGTCCGAGGCTGAGACCGCGCGCGCGGCGGCGGCGGCGGAGACGAACGCGATGCGAACCGAGGCGATGCGTCTCGCCGCCGCGCTCGCGGAGAAGGAGGCGCAGCTCGAGCTCGCGACGCGCGGCGGCGCCGCCGCCGGCGCGAAGACGCTCGCGTCGTGGACGTCGAGCCTGCTCGCCGGGTTCCGACGCGGCGCGTCGTCGGAGGGCGCCGCCTCCGAGCCGCTGTCCGCGCGTCTCTCCGCGCTGCTGACGACCAAGACGGCGGCGCTGCGGTCGGACTTCGACGGCGTCGACGGCGCGGACGAGATCGAGGCGGCGCTGGGCGCGGTCGGCGACGCCGCCGCGGAGGTGGCCGCGCTCGAGCGAAACCTCGCGGCGTCGCGCGAAGACGCGGAGCGCGCGGCGAGGGAGGCGAAGGACGCGGCGGCGGCGCGCGCGTCCGCGGAGGAGAAGCTCGCCGCGGCGGCGACGTCCGACGCCGCCGCGGAGGCGGCGCGTCGAGACGTCCTCTCGCTGACGAAGCGGCTCGCGGACGCGGAGGCCGCGTCCGCGACCGCGCGCGACGCCGCGCTCGCGGACTCGAAGCGCGCGACGGACGCGCTCGAGGCTGACGTGGCGCGGCTCAAGGCGGAGAGCGACGAGCTCCGCGCGCGATTCGGCGCCGCAGCGAGCGCCAAGGAACGCGAAATCGCGAGCGTCCGCGAGGCGCTCGAAGAGGAGCTCGAGGCTGCGAAGACCGCGGCGGAGTCGCTCGCGGACGATAAGCTCGCGATCCAGACCGAGCTCGCGAAGAAGATCGAGGAGCTGCGGAGCGACTACGTCGGCGCGACGACCGCCGCGGAGACGCTCGCGGAGGAGAAGCTGTCGCTTCGCGCGGCGTTGGAGGAGAAGGAGGACGCGTTGAGAGACGCGCTCGCGCGCGCGGACCGCCTCGCGGGCGAGCGCGACGCCGCGGACGAGCGCAAGGGCTTCTTCGAGCGGCTCGCGTCCAAGTTCGAGAAGAAAGTCGACGAGACGCTCGCGAGCAAGGCGAAGGAGGTTCGCGAGCTCGAGTCTCAGCTCGCGGAGGCGCGCGTGCTCGCCGCGGGACGCGACCTCGAGAGGGAGAAAGCCGCCGCCTCGGAGGCGGCGCGGCTTAACGACGAGATCGCGAGGCTTCGCGCCGCCGCGGACGCGCGCGCCGCGAACGCCGCGGAGGAGGTCGAGGTCGCGGAGGCGATGCTGCGGTCGCTCGAGGAAGCCGCGGAAGAGCGCGAGCGCGAGTTGAAGCTTCAGATCGACAAGATCACGATCGAGCTCACGGAGCTCAGGGCGACGGCGCGAGACGCCGACGACGCGGGTTTCAAAAAAGGCGGCACCGTCATCGTGAAGAAGAAAGACAAGGCCATAACGCGAGCCGACCTGGACGAGCTCTCCGCGCAGCTCGACGCCGCGGACGAGGCGCTCGAGGCCGAGCGCGAGCGCGCCGCGGCGCTCGAGGAGGAGCTCGACGCGGCGTTCTTGAAGTACGTCTCGGCGAAGACAAACTCGGACGACAGAGAGGCGGCGCTCCGCTCGCGGGTCATCGTCCTCGAGAGCCAGCTCGCGACGCAGCGTGTTATCGTCACCGCGGGCGGGGACGACGCGAAGCTCCGCGAGGAGGTCGATCGCCTCAGGGCGGAGCTCGAGGAGAAGTCCGCGTCGCTGAACGACGCGCTGACGCGCGCAGAGGCGGAGCTGGCGACGACGAAGAGCGTGAAAAACGTCCTCGGCGGTTTGTTCGAATCCGTCGTCGACGCGGGGAGAAAAGCGCGCGCGACGACGACGCCGACGGTGAAGGAGGCGACGTCGCGGCTGCGGCTCTTGCTGACCGAGCTCGAGAACGAGAACGAGCCCACGTCCACGGCGAAGTACCAGAAGGGCGGCACGCAGATCGTGAAGAGAAGCAAAACCGGCGAGTCCGGGTTTGGCCTGTCGATGCTGAGCGAGCTCGAAGACGCCAAGGCTAAGATTCGCGAGATGGAAGCCCTCGAAGCTCGACTCGCGGAAGCCGAGGCCGCGGCGGCGAACGCGGAGGAGGAGAAGAACCTCCTCGAGGAGCTCATCGCCCCGCTCGAGGACGAGCTCAAGACCTCCAGGACGCAAGTCCAGAAGATTGTCGACGACGCCGCGGCGCGCGAGCGCGAGATTCAAACGCGCGTCGACGCGATGGAGGTGCAGTTCGAAGCCGCGAAGGCGGCGGGAAAAATCAACTCGGAGCTCACGCTGGAGATCGTCGACCTCAAGCGACAGCTCGCGGCCGCCAAGGCGGACACCGCCGCCGCGGAGGACGAGATGCGAGCGCTCGAGGCGTCCGCGAAGTCGGAGACGGAGGAGCTCGAGACGCGTCTGAGGCGAGACGCCGCGGAGAAGGCGGCTGATTTCGCCGCGAGAGAAAAGCGCGCCGCGGACGAGCTTCGAGCGTCGCGCGCGCAGCTTGATCTTCTCGCGTCGGAGACGAGCTCGAACGAGGCGGCGCTCAAGCGCGAGATCGCGACCGCGCAGGCGCGGCTCGCGGAGCTCCGCGCGTCGATCGCGGAGGCGGAGACCGCGAAGGTGAAAGCCGCGGCGGAGTCGAAACGGAGAGAGAAAAAGCTCGAGGACGCGCTCGAGGAGGCGAAAGAAAACCTCGCGTACGAGCTCGCGCGGGCGGCGTCCCGAGAAGAAGCGCTCGAGCAGCGCGTCGCGGACCTCGAGCTCGAGAGCGACGAGCGCGACGTGTCGCGCGCGGCGTTCGAGACGGCGCGCGACGAGCTCGCGGCGGCGGCGACGGCGGCGAGCGCGCGCGAACGCGAGCTCGAATCGCGCGTCTCGTCGTTAGAGACCGAGCTCGAGGAGGCGCGCGCCGCCAACGCGGTGACGATGAAAAACTACGAGACGATCGCGAGCAAGCGAGCGGAGTCTGACCTCGAGACGGCGTACGCGCTGCAGCTCGAGGGCGAGCTCGCGCTCGTCAACGCGGAGCTTCGAGAGATGAAGACGGCGTTCGCGCTCGTGCAGTCTTCGAGCGAGGACGCGGTCGCGGCGGAGGCGAAGCTCGCCGCGCGCGTCGCCGAGCTCGAGGCGGCGCTCGCGGAGAGCGTCGCGCGCAGCCCGGAGGCGGTCGCGAGGGCGGCGGAGATGGAGATGAAGCTGAAGTCGCTCTCGAGAGAGTTGAAGGCGGCGGGCGACGACGCCGAACGCGTCGAGAGGGATCAACGAGTGACGATCGACGCGCTGAGAAGAGAACGCGACGACGCGATCGCCGCCGCGTCGGTCGAGCGCGACGCGCTTCAGAAGAGGGCGGACGCGCTCGCGCGCGAGCTCGAAGAGGCCGAGGCGCTGGAAGAAACGATCGCGATGCTGTCCAAGTCGTTGGAGAACAAAGACCAGCAGCTCGCGTCGGCGTTGAAATCCGTGGAGAACTTTGACGACGCCGCCAGAAGCGCAGCGGAGGACGCGCGCGCGAAGCTCGAGGAGATTCGCGCGCTCGAGAAGAAACTCGCGAGCGCGGAGTCGTCGACGAACGCGACGACGCGCGCGTTCGCGGTCGCGGAGCAGGAGATCGGCGAGGCGTTGACCCAAGTGCAGATCCTGCGCTCGGAGCGCGAGACCGCGGAGGCGGAGGTGGAGCGATTGCGCGCGACGCTCGCGTCGACGGAGGACGCGTCGCGGTCCAACGCCGACGCGCTCGCGACCGCGGAGGCGAAGCTCGCGGCGCTCACCGCGGACGGCCAGGCGAAATCGAGCCAAACCGCCGCCGCGCTCGAGGCGGCGGACGCGGCGCTGAGAGAGAAGGAAGCCGCGCTCGCCGAGGCGAGGGCGGCGGCGACGGAAGCGGAAAAATCCGCGGACGCGCGCGTCGCGGAGGAGGCGG